GACCTAAGCTGAAGGTTCTTCAGGGGGGGAGACCTTAGGCCCAAGCCTGAAGCAAGTCCTGAGCTTCTTGCGGGTTAGGGCTTCGGGTTTAGGGGTTTAGGGTTTAAGGGTTTAGGGGTTTAGGGTTGAGGGTTAGGGTTCAGGGTTTAGGGTTTAGGGCCTAGTGCTTAGGGTATCATGCAAACCCTAAACCAAGCACTTTTGTAGGGCTTTAAGGATTCAGAGTTTAGGGCTTGGGGTTTTAAGGATCCAGGGTTTAGGGCTTAAGGCTTTAAAGATTCAGGGTCTCGCCAAGTTCCCTGGTCAAACCGAGTTTTAACTGCTTGCATTTGAAACTATGGACAAACCCGGGACAGTTAAAGGTTGCCTGCTCAGCTGTTAAGATCAAGAGCTCCGCGTCTTTGATCCGCTGCATTTGCTCGCCGCAATGCATGGTGACCACCCGCCCTGGCACAATTCCCTCAGGGCGATTCCTAGGGTAGTCCCTCGGCCGGTGAATTGGGCATTCCCTTGTGCAAAGGCCTCTCGGCTTCGGATTTTGAGCTGTGTGGTCTAGTGCTTGCTTGGAGTGGTCCCGAAAGAACCATGAGAACAACGACTACTGCTATTTCTACTACCACTTCCACTTCTATTGTTCTACTTCTATTTCTACTACTTCTTCAACTTCTAATGTTCGTACTGCTACTACTACTACTACTACTACTACTGACTACTGACTACTACGATGATGGCGACGACGACCACAACGACCACAGCGACTGGAAGTACCACTACGACCACGGCTACCACTGCTACCTGTAATACTACTCGACGACCACAGCGACTCACCAATTTGTGAGGATCCTTGTGTGTTGCTTTTGGGGCTTCACGGTCGAGGGTTCCAGGCGTGGGGGTTCGAGCTCCGGGGTTCAGGGCTGAGGGGTTAGTTTAGACTTGAGGGCCCAGGTTTTCGGGGTTCAGGGTTTAGGGGTTTAGGGGTTTAGGGGTTCAGGGGTTCAGGGGTTTAGGGGTTTAGGGTTTAGGGGTTTACGGGTTCAGGGGTTTAGGGTTTAAAGTTTAGGGGTTCAGGGGTTTAGGGGTTTAGGGGTTTAGGATTTAGGGGTGTCTGGTTTACTGCAGCCTCAAAAAGAACGAATCTCTAAACCGAAACCGTATGCAAAACATGTCTAAGCAAAGTGAACCCAAAAGGTGAGTTCCCCAACCCTAAACCCTAAGCCCTTAACTTAACCCCAATCCCCCTAAACCCCCCTATACAGCTAAACCACCTAGACCCTAAGCCCTAAGCCATAAACCCTAAACTCTAGACATCTCTAAACCCTAAACCCTAATCCCTAAACCCTAAACCCTAATTCCTAAACCCTAGACCCTAAACCCCAAACGCAGCCTCGGCCCGCGTTTTGGGGGCGATCCGACATCCGAGGGCCCGAAACTCAGACATTGCCTTTGCCACCGCTCCCTGGGCCCCGTGAGTTAAGGGATCTATGAGGGTTCCTTTAGGGGGATCTATAAGGGCTCTTTAAAAAAATCTATAAGGGTTCCCTTAAGCGATCTATAAAGGTTCCTTTAAGGGATCTATAAGGGTTCCTTTTGAGGGATCTATAGGGGTTTAGGGTCTAGAGGTTCAGGGTTGAGGGTTCAGGATTTAGGGTTTAGGGTTCAGGGGACCTTCAGGGGTTCAGGGGGTAAGAGGTTAGGGGTTACGGTTTAGGCTTCAGGCTTTTGGCGCGAAGTTAGGGGGGGGGGGCTTTTTCTTACAATGGTTTACATGGGAGTCGCAGAGTTCATGTACTTTAGGGGGTTTGCATGGACCCTAAACCCTAAACCCTAAACCCTAAACCCTAAAGCCCTAAAGCCCTAAACCCGAAGCCCCTAAGAATGTGGATGCCTGGGATTTCTTGGGTTTTGGACTGGCCTTGGCCTGCGGGCTCGAGTTTAGCGATTTTCAAAGGTCAAGCGTTTTTTTTTTGAGTTTGGGACTAGTTTTGGGCGTAAGAGCTCGAAATTGGAACTACATGACGGCTACCAGGGCTTCTGCGCTACGCCCTCGGCCCTAATTTGTGGAGCTTGTGGAGCTTGATTGCTTTGAGCGTTCAGGGCTCCAAGCTGCAGGGCCAGGAATCCAGAGATGGAAGACATAGTAATGGTAGTAATACTAGTAATACGGTTGGTGATATAAGTCCTGCATTACTTATATATAATAAGGAATATACCATAATTCCCATAGTTTAGGGTCCTTAAGGTAGTGCAGGATTTATATCATCAACAGTAGAAATAGTGACAATGATAATATGACAGTCATAGTAGTAGTGGGGTCTCAAAGGTGCCGAAACCCAGAACCCGATTTCGGGATCGGACCTCGGAAAATTCATCAGACCACACCCCCGGGGGGACCAAGCTCAACCTACCTTCTTGTAGAGCCGTTTAAATGAAATCTTGAGTCGGATATGTATGAGGGCCCTATATGCCCTAAACCCTAAATTCTGAGCCCTGAACCCTAAAAACCCTAAACCATTGGGTGGTGGTTGGTCTAAGTTTAAGTTTAGCTGGCTCAAAAACACCCCATCCGGGCCCCATCCCGTCCTTCGTTCGGATCGGCTCTCAGCTGACCACCACCTCGAAAAGCCAAGATGGCTCAACATAGGGGTTTAGGGTTTAGGGTTAGGGGCTATCATCACCCTTAGACACTGACATCCTACTCTGCATACACGCAAATGTGCTAAGGTGGGATCTGCATACAAGAAGACATCACTCAAAAAGCCGAATTCTTAAAAGTACCCAAGATAGCTTTAAGATGCCGCAAAGCCCAACCCCTAAACCCCCAAACCCCGGTAAATCCCTGAAAACGCCGAAGCATGGTAGCTCTGAGCACCCTAGAGCCCAAAGTGGGTTTCGGGTTTACTGCCAGCTCAGGGTTAAAATGGGGTATGGGGATTAGGGCAGGAGGGCTTAGGGTGCAGGGTTTAGGGTTTAGGGAACCATAGGATGTTAGTGACTTAAGTGCTTTGCACTAGTCAGGGGTTTGGAGGATTTTGAAGCATCTTGCACTTATGGCTCAATGTACCTGGCTGGTTAACGCGGCGCGTTCTAAAAATCTGGGGGCCTTACTAAACAGGATTCCTGTGGTGTTCGGGGTTCCGGCGCCAGTTTTTGTTAGTCAATCGAGGCGCCTGCCGCGGCGGGGGTGCAGCGACAAGGCCTTCCAGTTGCGTCTGGAAGCCGTCAGCCTTGCTTTTGGAAACGCAACTACAAGGTTCATACTTAAAGGATCACGGGACTTCGCAAGATTAAACTGATACGTTCCCTAAGAATTATAATGAACGTAAACCTACTTCTAACATATACCCTAAGGCTCAAGATAGGTGTTACGTGGTATGGTATTTGGGTCCAAAAGCCTGGAAATACGAGTCCTTAGAGCCTTATAGGGATATAATTAGGCAGCACCTTACCTTAAACCGCAAAAAATCTACGCTACACGCGAAAGAATAAACGCCTGGAGCCCTAAACCCTAAACTCACCAAAACCCTAAAGCCCAACAAACCCTAAACCCTTAACAAAACAACCTTATAAACCTTGTATATAAGGTTTACAAGGTTGTTTGGTTTAGGGTTTAGGGTTGTAAAAACCCCAAACCTTGCAATATAAAGCCGTATGTTGAGGGTGAGGCTCGAAACTTGTCGAAGCACCCACCTTGCCCTGAACACAGCAGCATGCATTGTTTGTCGATGCGTTCTTATGATTTCCTTTCATGGCTCTTAGGAAGAAAAGGCCTAGGCCTAGGATTTTGGGTAAGATGAAGGTAGGTCTCAAGGGTTTAGGCCTTGGGGCTTTGTTTTAACCAGGGCTTTAGTTAGCGGCGCTTCTGGGCTAAGGGTTCAGGCGTTCGGGTCTCTGCGCCTTCGAATCGAACATTTTTGTGATGTGAGGTTTGGGACGGGTCTCCACCTCTACGTTTTGTGTTCTGGTGTTTAAGGCTTTGGCATGCTTTTGCTGTGGTGCCTTCCAACAGGAGGTTTTAAGGTCTGGGTTTGAATTTAGGGTTCAGGCACACATTTCTTGGCTGGGCCACAAGTACAACACTCCGCATCCCACACTGTTTACACAAAGCGGGATTCTCATCACTACACTCATCAAAGTGGCACAGATAGTGGTAGTGCGAGAGCAGGGGTTTGGTCTCAGACCCCTGCGTGGAACCACCTAACACAGAAAACATATCCTGAACAACAGGACCTAAACCCTAAACCCTGAACCCTGAACCCAGAACCCTGAACCCTAAACCCTAAACCCTTCAACCCTAAACCCTAAACCATCTCACCGAAATCCTGAACCCTTTACGTCTTCGAGGACAAGGAGCGGTGTACTGAACTGGAGAAGGCCGGGTCACGTTGGATGGCGTATAGGTGTACGTGTATGTCTGCGGTACCTCTGCCGGGACATAGTGGTACACCGGGGACGCCGTAGGAACTGCGTATACTGCAGTGGCTGCGGTGGCAGCTGGGGCAGCATATACTGGCGGAACCTCGGGAGCTGCGGCGGGTGCAGCGTACACTGGTGGCACTTCTGGCACGGCAGCGGGCGCAGCATAAATGGGAGGCACCTCTGCAGCTGGGGCCGCATAGATCGGCGGCATTTCGGGGACCGCAGCAGGCGCGGCATAGACGGGGGGTACTTCCGGCACAGCCGCAGGGGCGGCGTAGATCGGGGGCACCTCAGGCGCAGCAGCTGGCGCGGCATAGATGGGAGGCATCTCGGGAGCTGCTGCTGGTGCTGCGTAGACAGGAGGCACTTCCTGGGCTCCCGGTTTAGGGTTTAGGGCTTAGGGCTTAGGGTTTAGGGTTTAGGGATTAGGGATTAGGGTTTAGGGTTTAGGGTTTAGGGCTTAGGGTTTAGGGCCGAATATCACCGGATATGAGGAGACCGTCAGCTCTACTAAGTCCTATAAACACCAATCGGAACCTTCAGCTCTTTGCCGTCTCTACCCCTAAACTCATGGCCCTAAACACAACCTTAAACCCCTAAACCCTAAACCCTAAACCCGTCTAAACCCTAAACCCTTAAACCCCTCTAAACCCTAATCCCTAAACCCCTAAACCCTAAACCCCTCTAAACCCTAAACCCTTAAACCCCAAAGGCAGTGTACTCCAGGCCCCAGCTTCGGGCTGTGCAGACGGCGCGGCGTAGATCTTTTGGGCCTTTGGTATCGGCGCTGCGTAGAGGGGCTCGTTGGCGCGCAGCACCGGAGAAACCTGGGCATCTCAATGGCTTAGGGTTTAAGGCTTAGGGTTTTAGGATTTAGGGTTTTTGGGATTAGTTTTAGGGTTTATCAGGGTTTAGGGTTTAGGGTGTGGGGTTTAGTGTTTAGGTTTAGGGTTTAGGGTTTGGGGCTTGGGGTTTAGGTTTATAAAAACGGTCTGAAAGGGTTCGTTAGAGTTTTTTTACCCGGTATATTAGGGTTTGAGGGAAGAGAATGCAGGGCTTTTAGGGAGTAGAATTTCTGCTCATTACCAGTAAGGAACGCATGTGTCTACGATTTATCCCGACGGTGGTAAGCGTTTAGCTTAGCTCGTTGAGCGTAGAAAACCGCCGGAAACCCAGTCTGGTAACTTCAGACGAGACCCTTAAACCCCTAAACCCCTGAAACCCCTAAACCCCTAAACCCCGAAACCCCTAACCCCTAAACCCCAAAACCCCCTACACCCCTACACCCAAACCCTAAAGCCCTAACCCCTAAACCCTCTACCTTTATAGATCCCTTAAAAAGGAACCCCTCTAGATCCCTGAAAGGGACCCGCAACTAAGCGCGGCCCAGAAACAATCGTGACTGGCTGCAGAGCAGAGACGACAGGTTGGGTGAGCGACGTCGAAGGAACTGGCATCGCTGCCTGCAGCTCCGGGTCCGGGCCCCTTTTAGGGTTTAGGGTTTAGGGTTTAGGTAGGGTTTGTTGTTTAAGGCTTTTTGAGGCACCCCTCACGGGGGTTGAGGGTTTAGGGTCTAGGAACTCCTAAATACCCTAAACCTGAAAATCCTAAACCCTGAAGGGTTTCGATAGAGAGTTTTGATACCTACATCAATTCACGAGCCTTCCGGGATGGTACTATTGATTTTTGAAGCTCCTACCGTTACCTTTCAGGGGCCTTACTCTCGCACTTCTTTGGGAACGCGGCGGGGCAGCCCCTAGATGGGCAGTTCTCTTAATTAGCGTCCCTTTTAGGTTCTCAAAAAAGTACGGCACCCACAACAAAGGACTTTAAAAGGGACCCGAATTTAGAGAACTACCCGTATACGCAAGTAGAATATACCCCAAAATCTTCTTCTAACAACTGGCCCCTATATTGCCTTTTGGCTTTATGTAGCTCTCCATCACGGATGAAACGAGCATTGCAACAGACTCTCACTAATTCCACACCTGTAGCCCCACCCATACAACATGGTAGGCTATTCGGGTTCAGGGTTCAGGGTATTCTGCTGGGTAGACTGGTATAAACTCGAAACAAAAGTCGTGACACTAAACCCTGTAAACCCTAAACCCTAAAACCCTAAACCCTAAAACCCTAAACCCGGAACCCTATACTCAGATCCGGCAGAACCCTGCATGCCCAAAAAGCGGCCAATGCCGCCATCCAGTACGCGCTTTCCGGGGGACTACCCTCGTAGATCTTCGAACCCAAGCGCTGCAGGAATCGGTGAGCTCATGTCGCAAAAAGAGGTCCTATCAGGGGGTTTAGGGTACTTGGGGTTTGGGGGACCCTAAAACCCTAAACCCTAGACCTTTGGGGGTTATATTAAGAGGGTTCGTAAACATCCTGCAAATCTAGGGGCATAGGACCGTTTAGGACGTACTCAGGAAGAGCCTCTTCCTGAACCTTTGGGTATGTAGGGCATCGCTCGTCGGATATGTTTGCCGTTTGTGGGTTCTTACAGTTGGGGGTATCGCCCACTACTATTTGCTACTTTGAAGTTTGGGGTTTAGGGGAACAAGCAGAAGGTGGGATTGGCGCAAGTAAAAAAACTGGTACCCCGACGGACTAACCGGGGTGCGGAATCCGAATTTTAGAGCCATCGCCTCAGATTGCCGCGAAAAACATCATCGCGACCCACTGCACTACACTGCAAAGTCCGCCCCCGAGTGACCAACCGCGCTCCCTAAGCGAGACCCTGAAATCGTTCAATGTCTAGCCCCGAAACCCGTGAACCCTAACCCCCGAAACCTGTCAATCCCTAACTACTACCTCTGAAAGATCAAATCGATCAAAAGGTGCGTAAGTTGATTGGTGACCATTAGTGCCCTGTGTTTCCAAACCACGATAGTAGCACGGTAGATGTTTGTCTGATGTACAGCCCCGACCCGAAATCCAAACCCCAAAGGAGGTCCCAGCCCGGTCTTGCGCCCACTTACAACCCTGAGCTCTGTGACCTGACGCACAAAAAAATGAGGACGGTTTAGGTTTAGGGTTTAGGGTTTAGGGTTTAGGGTTTAGGGTTTAGGGTGAGACCCACAAAGTCTGTTATAAGCTTTGAGGGCTCCCTTAAGGCTTGTTCTAAAAGGATGTGGGTTGTAATTACGGTTTGAGAATCAGGGCACTTCGAAAGTGGGTTTTAAGTGGCCCAAAAGCGGCGAGCTGGCCTTTTCTACTTACCAGGTATAGCCCCATTTCTCTGAAATGCCCGAACATGGAGATTCAGCTTAAACTCACTGAAGCACAGAGTTTCTGGGTCAGAAGCTTTACATTGGCATAATGTCGGGGCCTCAATAATTACAGTAGGGTTTTGGGAGTTCCTTATTGTAACTATAGCATAAAGGATCCCCAATCCTAGTCTAATAAGTCAGGTCCCTAAAGTAAGGGCCTTCAAGGTCCTGATCTCTTGCAAGTGATAGATAGTGACTCTAATAAGGGAATAGTCTCACCAGCTCCATCAGGAAAGCGCCCCCAAAACCCGTACTTAGAGGTGCTGGGTGCTTAGCAAGAGCCACGCCTGTGCCTGTGCCCAGACCCAGAAACACCCCCATGATCTGACCCTGGCATGGAGGAGCTGTTAATCCATCACTTCGTGAGGTGTGCGCTGCACGTAGCTGCGAATTAAAGCTAAGCGGATGCCAGTGCAGCTTCTTCGGTCCAAGCCACTGTGTGCTTGAGGGTCTACCTATCACAAAATGCCATTGACTCGTTCATCGCCAAAATTGTAATCACCACCACCATCAAGCATCAGGCGCTCACATGTTATTTCAACCCACTTTAGAAGCGACAGTAAGTCAAACCAAGGATCGCGTCACAATTATGTCAACTCCGACCACATGCAAAGAGCCGAACCGACCGGAGCCATATGTGTACTTGATGGTACTACCCATGGCGATGGTAACCAGACGCCATACTCAGCATCGTCGTTGTATGAGAAGCAGCAGTTGAAGCAGGAATGTAGAAGAAGTAATACATAGTAGCCGTCCTGTAGTAGTAGTCGTCGTCGTCGTGGTAGTAGTCGTAGTAGGAGTAGGAGTAGTAGTAGTCGTCGTCGTAGTAGTAGGAGGAGTAGAGTAGCAGTGGTGGTAGTAGTAGTAGTAGCAGCAGCAGCAGCAGCAGTAGTAGCAGTAGTAGCAGTAGTCGTGGTGGTGGCGGTGGTGGTGGTGGTGCTGCTGCTGCTGGTGGTAGTAGTAGCAGCAGTAGTAGAGCTTGGGCTACCGACACTCGCTGAGGCTGCAAGAGCTCGCTTAGCGAGGAGGTTCACTGCATCCTCTTGGGGATGGAAGGTGCCCTCGCTGCCTACTTCGGTGAAACAACTCGCGGCCACGGGACTACTAAGCTAAAACCTTCAACTGATGTAGGGTTGAAGGTTTAGGGCTTTAGGGTTTTAGGGTTTAGGGCCGGTTTAAGGTTTACGGGTTTAGGGTTGAAGGGTTTAGGGTTTAGGGCTTAAGGGTTTGGGGTTTAGGGTTTAGGGTTTAGGGTTTAAGGGTTTAGGGGTCAGGGTTAAGGGTTGAGGAGGGGATGGCAGGTCTTAGCCCCAAGCCCTAACCCTCTGAACATTGGTAACCCTAAAGCCCAAAGCTGTGTAAACTCGTCAAATCCAGGCCCCAAATCAAATGGCAAACCCCTCAGTCCCCAACAAACTTGCCCCAAACACTCTAAAAACTAAAAACATAGACACCCAATCCCTGAATCCTCCATTCTACACCCTAAACCCTAAACCGCCAACTAGTCTGAGGAAGCCTCTGCTCCTATGGGATTTGGGGGGAAGTTCATAAATATATGTATTATCTAGGACGTTTTCAGGTGGGTAGGTACTGTATAGGAGCCTTATAGAAGGTCTGTACCTTATGGAAGTCTTATAGAAGCCCTATATACCCTAAACTTCCCACCTGTAGTTTCCTTTAATATTAGAGAACCCTAGGGATTCTATAGCATTCCTACTTATCCAGGCCAGTTGCGAACCTGCATTTCCTAACCCCTGACGCCTTATCGCTGCGAATGAGAAACCTCGTAGTACTCCCTACAGCACCCCGCATACTATCCCTGACAGCTACCCGTGCAATCACCATTCTAGAAACCTTCCGGAGAGGCTCGTGAACCTTTTAAGGAATGCGTACAGAGCGCTCTTGAAACCCAGGGCCTCACCTGTACCTCCTAAATCCGCAAACCCGAGGCCCTTATAGGACGATGCTTTTCAGCCCGCATGACTCATCACACCCCAGGCCCGTAACCCCTAAACCCTAAACCCTAAACCCCAAACCCTACACCCCTAAACCCTAAATCCTAAACCCCAAGCCAGAACCCCAAAACCCCAAACTCGACAGC